TAACTCATGTTAGCGGACTTACAACCCTACTTATAACTACCCACGAACCTCCAAGTACCCTAAACCCTATAGAGGGACCCTGAAAAAAAAACCTTGTAACTGCGCCTGAGCCTCCAAGTAGGTTTTGAGAATTTAGGGCGGCGGTTCTTCGATAGTGAGGCTTCAGAGTCTGATGGCACGGCATGTAATCTAGATTTTAGAGCTGCCCCGACCCTGTAATAGTTACTATAAGGATTATATTAGGGCCCTCTTATATTCCAACTATACCACTATTACAGGGTGGGGGCAGCTTCCAAAATTTAGGGGCCTAAACAAATACCAAGACTGGTTTTTTTGGGGGGGGGTCCTGTAAAGGGGTCGATAAGGACTACTATAAGTGATCTATAAGTGTACTATAACGCACACGGGCTTCGGTGAAGACGCGCAGCAAGAGCAGTGCGGCCTGCGTACTATAATATAGGGGCCTAAATATAATTACCAATTCTATTTCTGGAGGTTCCTTATTATTGTCATAATGGGACCCAAAACCCTATTCTAATCATTCAGGCCGCTAAAGTAGTCGCTGTCTCTACAACATGCATCCCACTTGTGGACAACTTGATATGGATTATTCGGTTTGTTGGGTGGTAGCCCACATATGGCAATCGCAGCTTCCTGTACGGCGTGTATGTTGTGCCCCAGAAAGTCAGAATCCCAATCCCTGATATAGAGATCTGAAGAACTAGAAATGACACTTTTCCGCCTCTCTAGAAGTATACTACATATGGCAATCCGCGACTGTAAAAGTTGAACTCTCTTGCCCCCAACCCCTCCAAAGACCTCAACCCTCAGCCCAAAAACCTTCATCGCCAAAGCCCAAACCTTCAATCCACCCTAAACCCTAAACTTTGACTCTTAAACTCTTAAACCTCAAATACTAGACCCTAAACCCTTAACCCCAAACCTATACCCTAAAATCGGTGCCTTAATACTTAGCTACAGTGTTTTGGGGGTTCCTTGGTAAAAATTCCCGAAGCCCTAGTCCAATTATTCAAGCCCCTATAGTAACCTAAAGCTACCAGAGACCCTGAACCCTAAACCCCTAAACCCTAAACCCAAACCTAGACGCTATCCTAAAGCCTGAACCCTAAACCCCTAAACCCTAAACCCCTAAACCCTAAACCCAAACCTAAAGCTACCAGACACCCAGAGTTTCTAACAGCCACAAAGGCGCCAGTCGCGGTGCCTCCTTACCGACAGCGGAGCCCGTCCTTTGACCAATCTTAAGACTGCATGAGCCTAGGGTTCAGTTGGGGTTTCTTAAGAATGAGCCTGGGGTTTAGGGTTTAGGGTCTAGGTTTGGGATTTAGGGTTTCGAGTTTAGCCGGCTTCTTGTTGCGCCCCTCTAAGTGTATGTGGGTTTTAGCAAGACCCTAGGAAAAGTTGCTTATGATATCCTCAACTTTTCAGGTTTTTGGGACTTTGATGCATTCCGTATAGGATTCACAGACTCTGTTCTATGATTTTTTATTGAACTTTGCTATGCCATGTGGCATTATCCTATATGTTTTTACATCATTTTGTGTTGTATGACATTATGCTACCGAATACTAGATTCTATTTCGTAATGTTATGATATAGCAGGGGATGGGCCTGGGATAGCGTTCATGTGGGCTTTTCGGGTGTGATGCAGGGCTGAGTGGTTCTTCGGGCGTTGAGGGCTGGTTTAGGGTTCAGGATTTAGATCTTGGGGGTTACCTGGGCCCTAAGGAACCGACCTTTCCAGGTTTCCTGGTTATGAATTCCTTATGTAGGTCAATGTAGGTCCTCGAGAAGTATGCTTCCGCCGACATGGGGCAGATCGTCGCAACCTTCGAAGACTTCTACTACGACGTCGCTGCTGCGACATCGCGCATGAATGAAAAGCCGTTCAGCGGCTGCCTTGATATGTTCGAGAAGTTGACAGAGGCCGAGTTGCTGGCGAACCGCCTGTCCAAGGGGTTTCAGTACTGCCTACACAAATCTCAGCATGCGACAACAGCTGAGCGGCTGAGTGTTGCGGTGCAGGCAGTGGTCCACGGAGCAGTTGGAAAGCGGAGCTGGCAGCAGCAAGGACCAGCCGCCACAGGCCGGCAAGGAGGCTGTTCCCTGCTCGAAGGAGGTTGTGGCCGCGACTTCCAAGAACAGTTCCTCTGCCCACTTGCCACTTGCTCCGGATTCAGGGAAAGGGTTTGGCTTCCAGCTGCAACTAAGCGCAAGGCCTTGCCTGAGGCTGGGAGACTTCAGCATAATGTCATAGAAGCCTGAGGAGTCACTGATGCCGATTTCTTAAGGGCTCATTATCAGAATAATACCTCAAAAGGCCCGAAAACCTTGTTGACCATATTTAGACCCCTATATTCGTGGTCATCTGTGTAGCACCACGCAAGTGTCCCATGGCAGAGCGATGCATCGTAAATCAGCACCAGTGTGAATAGACGTGAAGATAATTAATACCCAGAAACGGTAGCAATCCCTGTTCGCACAATCAGCAGCAGCAAACTGAAAGTACAGCAGTCACAACAATAATGCTCCTGAACAGCGTGGCGTCTCTTTAGCCGTCGCGAGTGCATCTGTCTTGACGGTTAAGTCGAAAGTGAAGAGAGTCTTACTGGGTTAATCAAGCACAATGCGCCCCTCACGATCGTGGTGGTCTTGTCCTCATATCTTCGTTGTAGAACCCAAACAGAAACAGCGCCAGTCGCAACTGAACGACAAATCCGACAAAAGCGTATCAGAAGAGCACGACGCCTGGCATGCTCTGGAGCATTTGGCTGTCACGAAGCTTTCGATAATATCTCTTTAGGGTTTAGGCCTTCTGAGTGTTCAGATGAGGTTTAGGGTTTATAGGTTCAAGGGCGCGAGATGATCTAGGTGGCAATTTGGGAAACTTTTAATTTCCCTCATGGTTCCATATAGAGGTACCTATTCATAAATACTTTTCAGAGCCCCAAAACTACAACCCAGGGATAGTTTATTGCGACCTGAGCTTCCATGGCGATTTTTTATTGTTGCGGCTGACAGCGCTCTGTTAAGATTGCTCGAATGAGCTATTTTACTGTGTTTCATAAGTAACTAGTTCGTGCTAGCACCACAGACGCAACTTTAACAAGCGACAGTTGTCCATAGTTCTCAATCACCAGTACGACTGAGAAGGGGTCCATTCTGCGCACGAACCCTGACGGGATCAGCGGTAGCCCCGAAACCCCATAGCTTCAAGCCCTTGTCTTCTATAAAAAGCGTCCGGCTTTTGCTCAGGTCGGTTGGCCGAGGAGCTATGTGCCAGCCCTAGTTGAAGGGATCGATCGGTTGGGTACTGCCCCAGTTTGATAATATTCATGATACAGATATATGATCTACAAGGGTTCCTGTAGGACTCCTACTATAAGGGTACTGTAGGGTTCCTTGAAGGGATAAGGGTTCCTGTAGGATTCCCAAGATAGTACGGCACCCTTACAGAAAGGACCCTAGAAAATGACACTCATTTGGAGAGCTACACCTTGAATCAATAAAACCAGTGTGGTGTTCCATAGTGTATGTATTTTAAACCCCACCCGAACCCTCGTTTCAAAATTGTCGTCCCTCTGTTGTTCCGGTTAAGAGGTTGGGGTTTAGAGTTTAGGGTTCTTCAGAAATTGAGGTGAAGGCTGTAGTGCCTCGGGTTTTAAGGTCCGTAGGATTAAAGTTTGATATTTCAAAACCAGGGTTTGGGTTAAGGGTTTAGGGCGAAGGTTTAGGGTTCAGAGTTTAAGAGTCCTAGTTTAAGGCTTACAGGGTTTGGGTTTGGGGTCCGGGTTCAAGACTGTATGGCTCTGCCCATGCACGGCAATTCAGGGTTGTACCTTGCATCATATCATGACCCGTCTTGAATTCAAGGCATGTTCCTTCATTAAGGGTACTCAAAGCTGTTTAGGGATGAGTCGAGGGCGATCCCTGATCCCTCCATCTACAGCACGACGGAGGCTCTTACTGGTTCAAAAAAGTGTTGATTCTTGAAGACAGCTTTGCCGGCTTCTATTCAGATTCAAGATCCCAAGTGGAAGATGTTGGTGTATGTAAGATACTGAGGCACCCCGAGCCACAAATCCAACCCCAGTCTTTGAGCATGATCGTCTGCACTCTCTTTGTCCTTGCTGGGGTGTCGGTCTTCGGCATGAAGCAGTGTTCCTTAGGGTTCCTTAGTGCAAGCATGCAATGAAGAGCAAAAAGGAGTCCTGTATGATCCACGACCCTAGTCGGCCCTTTGGCGTGAGCACCCTCGGAGTGGGTCAGTCAACAACCGTGGGTTTAGGGTTTAGGGGTAAACCCCAAGCTCAAAATCCGAAATCCTTACTAACCCCAATGTAGGGGCCTTAATAATTAGAAGAGGGTTTTGGTGGATATTGTGCCTCCGACCCCGGCCCCACCCCAAACAGCTGAGACGACTCGAGGCGTGAAGCGTCTCCCTGGCATCCCCGGGCAGGCCGTACCTCATATGAGAGTGTCAGGGTTCTAGGGTTTAGGGTGTTATAGGGTTTTTAGGTTTTGGGGCTTTAGGGGTGTAGGGCTTTCGGGCTTTAGGGTTGTGGGGTTCGGCTTTAGGTTTTAGTTTTGTGGTCTACGTTTTTGTGTTCAGGGTTGGGCTAAATACAAGAATTTGAAGGTTGTCAATTTTTTGTCAGATTAGATCGAGCGTTATCACGAGGGTTTTAGGATTCTTATCGGATTTCCGATTATGAGGGTCTAGGGTTTAAGGTTGGGTTTCGCAAAGTTTTGCTAGGCTGGTTGTACTTAACTTGCAGGAAACTTTCCTGAAAGCCAGAAAGTTACTAGCAAGATGGTTTCATGTCTGGGTCTATGGGACTTGTAGTACAAGATGTGAATTTCGTATAGTCCTAGAGGCTCCACAGACAGTCCCATTATGGAATTAGGTCCCTAAAGTGGTAGCTTAGCGCTGCGTGCGTAGTGTTTCACCTCCGTAGGCTCTCGGCTCAAGGGTGACAATGAGAGTCGCCCTGCTGTTGATCGGCGCACTGGTGCGCCCGCTCGGGGGGCTATGGCCTTTCGCTGTGGGTAGCGAAAACCAAACGTGCGACAAAGGAGGAGCAGGTTCGTGCCCTACAGAAGGGCACGAGCCTTACAGTACCCGTGGCTCGGAACCGAGCCCGGGAGCATCGTACTGGTGGTTCGACTGGTCCTGGGAAGGCTCCACTGAACCGAAAGCCAGCACGCCCCAAGCCGAAGACGCCCATTCTCGTCGCTGGTACTTCCGGATTTTGGCCGGAGTATTGTGGGAGATATGGGAAGGGGGGTTGACCTGGTGCGGCACCCTGTGTGCCTCCATTGGGCTCGCTGCAAGGTGGACCTATTGGCTGGCCACCACTACCATCCTGCTGGGTATGTTACAACTTACCTATTGGACCTATGCGTGGGTCGTCAGGCCCATCTTCGTCGTCATTGGAGCACTGCTCCAGTACGTGGCGGGCCGAGGGACCTGGGAGGCCGTGCTGAGGGGGCACGGCGAAAACCCATATCACGTCAGATGGACAGGACCCCAAGGTGAGCATCCCTGGTCGGTCACCTACGTTCAAGATCAAGTAAGAGGGAGAGGTGAACAACAGCTCCCATATGATCTTCTGGTAACCGACGGGGTAGCTGTGGCCCGCTTACGGCATGGAGCCGTACGGGGTCGCACCAACCGCCATGGGTTTCTTTGCAGGTGTGACAGCGTACACGGGGCGTCCCACCGCTACTGGAGAAGGTGTTTGGAGCGAGCGCAGTGTGTTGTTCACCTGTGCTCGGTAGAACCATGCACTTCGCCTGAAGCAGCAGAGCTACATATCACGGCCAGTAGTGTGGTCCCCCAGAGCTGCGTGGACGTCGACCTGAACGAACTGTCAGGCCGAGGACCTATGTGTCGGGCCCTCAACGCGTCCAAGTTTATGGCCCTACAAGGGGTCACGGGACTTTGGAGCACCGGACGCGCATGTGGGCGTTGGATCACCTCTTGGTGCTGTTGCGGCGGAGCGAAGCACTCGAGGCGCGCTCCGCGCCCGGGTGAGGAAGAAGGGCGCACTCCGCGCCACGATTTGTCAGAGACCGAATCGGAGGAAGAAGACAACCCGTGCCAGGCCGATGCGATCGCCTGGAAAGAGGGCACGCAGACGAAAAGGCTCAGCAAAGAGCGCTGCAAAGACGCCGCGTGTTCGTGGGTCAGGCTTCTCAACGATGACGGCATGCAAAGTAGTAGTGGTGAACTGCATTGGGATGGACTTCAAGCCAGCTGCCAGTTATGCGCCCGCCACCAGGAGAGCTACGACCTTTCAAAGACCAGAAGAGCTTGCTCAGTCGAGGGCTGTGGGAAGGTCGCCCAGACGGTGAAGGGAGGGGTCAAACTTTGCAGACTGCACGCCAGCAAGGAAGAACGAGGCCCAACCCCCAAGCAGGGGAATTTCGCTTCTCGGTCCCGTGGTCCTCAGGAAGCCAGAAAGAGGTCCATCAGCCGTGGCGCGGAGCGCGCCCGGCCGCATTCGCAGGATGCCACACCCAAGCGCGGAACGCGGACTGAGGCTGCTGAACTCCGAGGGATTTCCTCCCCCCCGCGTTTGGATGGAGCCACCTCAGTTGCCCACTTTCCCGGAGCTGACGCTTCGGTCGAGGATCAGGTACTCACGGGGTTGACCTGGGAAGAGATCGCGGGGATACCGGATGAAGATCTTCGAAAAAGGGCCATATTTCTCAAGCAAAGAGGCGCGACGCCCGGCCCAACTTCAGGTGGACCGGACAGGAGCGCCTCCAGAACCGATGCACCAGACGACAGCCAGGCCCTGTTCGCGTATATGGAAGCGAGACTCCAGGGGAAGGGGCACGACTCAGCTGTCGAGGTGTCCGAGGTGGACGGCAGGACTCCGTCCGAGAGACAGAGGCGTCTCCGGGAACTGGCACGGAGGCATTGCATACGAATTACCAGCGAACTACCGGCCGAGGCCAGCAAATTCATTTGGGAACTAGCCCAACCGCAGGTCTCGACAGACGGGCAGCCAGGAGGAGGTTTCTACCCGTGGACCGCTTCGGACCCGGGTCCTCCTTCTCACCACCAGAGCAGGACAAGTCCGTGGGCTGCTCCAGCCCCGGAACGTCCGTGGGCAGCCCAGGGCTCGGATCATCGGCCAACCGCTCAGGCATTGTTCAGGCAAAACCCCGGAGCAGGGGGAGCTGGGGGCAGAACTGATGCGGTAGATGCGCTGGCCCAGGCCACCAGGGCTTTCCGAGCAGGAGCCTTCACGGATGCAGAGGCACCCGCAGCAGACGAGACGACTAAAGCCCTCCAGGCGATAGCCAAAAGCCTGACCTCCAAGGAAGACGCCCTCGCACAGGAGCGAGGTAAACTGGCATCAATTGGGCGATTGGAGGAGAGGCTTGTGTTTTTGCTCCGGGGCTGCGACTCCCTGAGTGTCACTCTCTGCCCTGGCGTGGTAGGGAAAGAACTCTTTCATGCGCTTCGCATCGCAGGGACGCAAGCGAGACCTCAGTTGCGGAAGATCGAGTTCCCCTGCAACATTCAAAACCGGCACAGCTATGGATTTGCGGCCCTGCAGCTGGGAGGGAAAACGCTCAACACGCTGCCGGAGTACTGCCTATCGGCCGGAGATTTTCCACTCACCTCGGAGGAAGATTTCGACAACTACGGGGGCTCACCTGACCTCAAACTCGAACGTAAAGGTCGGTACCCTAACACGCTGACCTCATGGTTCAGAGCCGCCCTCCGCCAGTCTTGGGCCTTCTCCTGTCTCTTTGGAGAGGAATATTACCCCGTGCTCGAAAAGGCCGCTTCACATCTGTTGCGCTTAGGGGAACAACATGGCTATGCCTGGCCAGCGTCCGCAGTCTACGGTGCATGGGAAGAACTTTGGGCCCGTTTTTGCGAAGAAGCACGGGAGTTGGATCGTCGCATTCGCAGAGCCATGCAAGACGAGACTCCTACCTTCGCCCGACTCAAGTTCTTCGCCCTGTCCCCTGGTCCAGACGGGCAGCCCTGGCTCCAACTGCCGGGTACCTTTCGCCTTGACGACGATACCCAATACTTCTGCACCGATATGTTGCCGCGCATGCAGCGCCAACTCTCTCGAGCGTGTTGGGCCGGCGCACAGAAGAAGGGCAACACCGGGGGTCGGGCTGCTGGAGAAGGGGATGCCACCGAGGCTCGAACCGAGCCCGGTGTTCCTCCACCCCCTAAAAGGGTCGAGCTGGTGGCGAGGCGGCGGATAAAGCCGCCCCACCAAAACTTCTCGGTCCCAGCCTCACGCCCAAGGAAGCGGCCCGGTCCCTGGACCACCGACCGAAAGACCAACAGGGCCAATACCTCTGCTGGGACTTCCTGACACATCGCGGGTGTAACAAGGGTAGCGGGTGCCCCCACTCCCATAAGGCCGCTCCTAAGTGGACGACCCTGGACTACACGGTCCAGCTCCAGTTGCTGCGCCGAGGGGGCCTTAAGGGCTCTAAGGCCAAGACAGGGGACGAAGTCGACCGTGAGTTCACCCGAGTACGGGCGGAGCAAGCTGCGAAAGCCGCCGCTGCTAAGCAGGAAGGTATCGCAGCTGCTAAGGCCAAGGCTTCTACCACACAGAGGACCACTCCAGCTGCGGGCACGGGCAACACTGACCGCACCTCTCGAGCGGGAGAACGAGTACCCGAACAGACAGGACATGTTGTGGCAGATTTGGATAATGTCCTGCCCACCGACCGTGAAGAAACCCTGGGCGCACTTCTCAAAGACGAAGGCAGCAACTGGTGGCGCGACGTCGATGCCGACGCCGCTACTCTTACCTGCCCTAGCTCAAAATTTGAGAAGTCGGCGCGAGCGGACGCGGCTGAACCCGCCCTGGGGCCTTATCCCACTGGACTGGTGGGTGTCTACCTGCGCAATCGCCTTCTACGCCTCCGCGAGGAAACGGGTCGTGCCCCCGAGCTTGAGGATGTTACGCACCTGTTGGAGGAAGCTGTCTCCCTGGGTGGCCCAGAGCTGTCTGAAGAAGCCGCCCGCCTCCTTGAGGAACGCGGCATCCACCGCAAGGCCGGCGAGTCCCCCCTGGTGCAGCTTTCAGGTCTTACATGGAATTCCACCATCGGGGCCGGAACGCTCACCTGGAAGGGCGTCGGTCACTGGGCCATGTACGACTACCAAGACCAGCTTCCCCTCTCTTCTGAGGCATGCGAACAGATGGGATTTGCCGCCGCCTACGACGAGCCTAAGCAGTGTTTGTTGCTGCACGTCGCCGCCGCTTACCTCGCCACACCGGACCAGCCTCTCCCCACACCCGAGGCGGTTTGGGCTCTCGCCTCCGAGTGGAGAGTCCGGTGGTGCTCGCAGGCACGAGTCGCCGAGGACTCTCTGGGGCCAACGCCCGAACGGCTCACGCAGGCCGAAGCGGATGTCCGAGTGTTCCACCACGACCTTCTCCATTTTGGGCACGACCGCGACTACCGCACTTTGGTTGCCCACCCTTTGGAGGAGTGGGAGTGCCTGGGCTTGGCCGTCCTGCGCCTCGACGCTTATATGCGGCCCAGCGTCGAGGTTGTCTGTGGCCGCCGCTATAGCGGTAAAGCTGAGGACACCCGGTGGGTGCTGGTGCACCGTGGCCACATGCGTTTGCTGGTTCCCGACGAGTCCTGCTTGCCGCCCTTGGGGAGCCGCGAGCTCGAGGCCGCTGGCTGGGAGGCGTACCTTGAGGAGGCGGAGGGCTCTCCGCTTCTCGACGCGGGGCGTCTCCTGCAGTGCCAGGTCTGCCACCCCAAGCGGGCGCCCGGATCGTTTCGGACAGGGCGTGAAGCCGGGGCGTTTGGGTTACAGGTTTTGCGCGCCGGTCGGGGCCACTCTGTCGAGGCCCGTTCCGGGCCCGACAAGCACACAGCTGCTCCCGCTATTTCGACCAAGTCCGTCGACTGGCCGCTGCTCTCCTGTCTGCCCCCCGCAGGCCAGCCCCTCCCGCTGCTGGTGTTGGGGCCTTCCACCGCACACGCCGCCTCCGATTGTGCCTGGGGCCCTTTGCCAGACGCCGCTGCCGCTGCCGCCGCTCTGACATACATTACCGAAGGAGGCGTCTCTTGCCTCTGGCTACTCCCCGCCGCGCTGCCGCCGGGTCCGCCTGCCGATGAGTGGTCTTCTGTTTTGCGGCTGGCCGCCGCGCAGTTGCAAACCGGTGGGCGCTGCGTGCTCGAGGCTCCCCTCTACCGGCGGGCTTGGACCGACAAGGCCACACGCATCCAACTTGCCGGCGCGTGTTGGCATGCCGAACGCCTGCCCAGCCCCTTGTTGGGCCCGGCCGGCGGAGTTACTATGTTGCGCGCGTCTTTCTGCGTGCCCCCTGACCTCGCCGCGCTTTGTAGTACCGGGGGGGGGGAGGAGGATTTTGCTTCCAAAATGCAAAGGCTGAAGACCGTTCTTGATAACCCTGCGGGGGAGGCTGAGCGAAAAAGCCAAGAAGCTGACCTCTCTGAGGGAACAGGTGACTCCGTCAGGTGCGGAAAGCTGTTCGCTGACTCCGGCCCGCTCCTGGGGCCTCCGCCGTCCTGGCTGCCTAAGAGCCTCTCCAAAGAAGCAGAAGAGGCGGCGGAGGCCTACCTGCAGAAGGTGCACCAGGTTGAGTACTCTTTGGAAGCGTGGAATGGTGCCGTGCAAGCGGGAACGACCCTCCTCAGGCTTTGTGGAGGATGGAAGGAGACGGAGGGAGCGCTGCGCTACGCGTGGAGGGCTCGGGGAGAAGATCACTTCGCAGGGCTCTTTGATCACCACCTCGACAGTCACCTTCCGGAGGATCTCCTTGCGTGGGTTAGAAGAGTTGCCCAGGAAGGGGTAAAGGCCGAGTACCGTGGCACGCAGCGTGCCCGGGTTAAGGCCACCCCACATCCCTCCCTTCAGGATCATGTGGAAGAAGCTCGGCAACTAATCTGGCAGGACGCCACGCGAGGATGAGTGCTCTTGATGAGCCCGGGCCCCGACGAGGAGGACCTGTTAGATGGGGTGGTATCCGTACCATTGGCAAGAGTGCCGAAGTACAACCCAGACAGGTCAGTCTCCTCCAAAGGGAGAGTTATATGGGACGCCAGAGTCGTTAATGAACTTTGTCATAAGGACGACCATTTTCCAGCCATCCAACCCAGATACGCAGAGGTAGTAAGGCTGGTGATGTGGTGCAAGAGCCGGTACCCCGGCGTCCGCATCCTTTTGGCGAAGAAAGACGTCTCGGAAGCCTTTAAGTGGCTTTGGGTCGAACAGGACGACTGCAGGCTTTTCGGAGCGGATCTCCCCCCTGTAGGGACTACCCGGGACAGCCGTGGCGACGCTTCGCGCCCGGTTACGGTCTTGTACCTCGCTATGACGTTCGGATGGACTGGGGCCCCAGGAGAGTTCATGGCTTTCGCATGGGCGATTAAGTTGCTCCACAGAGCATGCGGGCCCGACCGGCCTGAGTGGCACGACTCGTCCTCCTTCCGGTCGCTCGCTTTAATGGACGACTCGGTTGTGATCGAGCCCGACTTGGGCCTACGCCCTCAGCTGTCGGTCGACGCTTTGGAAGAAGCGATCCGACAGACTTTGGGGCCACTCGCCATCAATGTGGCCAAAGACGTCGAAGAGGGGACCCTCACCACGAGAAAATTGATTTGGGGCCTAGAGTTCGATACAGAAGCTGGGACCTGTCGGCTCCCACCTCTCAAGGTCGAACGAGCCTACCACGTCCTCCAGTCCCCGTTCTTCGACGCCGGCCAGACCAAGGTACCGCTCAAAGAAGTCCAGGTGCTACGGGGCTCTCAACAGTTCTGGCTAGGGGTCCTCCCGCAGCTCGCCCCTTACCTCCAGAGCACTAATGCGCTCTTGGGACCCGCCGACCGAGAAGGCCATGTCGTCCTACGCGGGAATGAGGCAGACCAGTCCGCGCAGTGGGAAGCATTCTGGAGCGCCATCGAGCTTCAAAGGCTGTTGGTCGGTTCACGGCAATTTTGGGAAGCGCGCTTCGTCTCGCAGCTCGAGCACGCACTCACCACGCCTGAACTCTTGGCCCTACCAGAGGTCAAGCGCAATCTGGTCTGGGTGTCAGCTGACGCCACGCCCACCCGGCTGGGAGCGATCGACTGGACCGCCAGGGTCGCAGTTGCTTGCGCCGCAGCTCCCCTCTTATCGCCTCTTGAAGCCAATGCCCAGGATCCCACCGACCTCGAGGCTCGTACCAAGCCCGAGGAGGACTTGGTGCAAATAGGCGTCGCGGAATTACTGGCCTTGCTCGTGTTAGTAGTCGCCAGAAAGGAAGCCTGGGCAGGCAGCGTGATTCTGTACTTGGGGGACAACACCAATGTGCAAGATTGGCTGCGCAAGCGGCAAGCCGGGAATGCGCAAGCCAACCACCTCCTGAAAGTCTTGGGAGCGCTAGAGGGGGTCCATGGCCTACAGGTGAGGGGGGCTTACCTTCGCACTTACCACAACCAAACCGCCGACGACCTGACCCGGCTTGACCCCGACAAAGTCATCGAGCAACAGGGGCTGACTCGCCTCAGTGTTCCAGACGATTGGGGTCGAGTGCTGGAAGAAGCTTGGCACCGCAGAGCCCTCTTGTGGGTAGGCCAACCAGATTCCGATCGGCAGATGGCCCTGCAGCTCGCCACGCGGAGGATTGGACCGGCCCCTCCACGGGCCATGCCCGCGTTCGGTTGGAAGGTGCACGAGCTCGGTGCTTCAGAGCACGGCGTGTACACCCGAGCTTTCTTTGCCGCCGGAGGCTTGAAGCACGACCCCCAAGACTCCTTAGCCTCTTTGGAAGGAGCACCCGCCGTGGAGCGTTTCGCTCCCGGTGAAAAGGAAAACCCGACGCAGGAAGAACGTCTGCTTTGCGTCTGCCACCGTGACTGGCGAAGCGGAGGCGCGACGGGTAGTGTCTAGCGTGCCTGCGCAGGCCGCGAGCATCTGGATAGACTCTTTCCGACCACTCGCGGTCGAAGCAATTTGCACGGAAGATGCCCGGAACCGCTGGGAATGGTGGACGGAGGAGTTCACCGGCCGCACCTTTAAAGAGCAGGTGTGGTGGCACCGCTGGGTGCTGGTTGGTGTAAACCCTGGTGTAGGACAGGAAGCACGTGCTGCGACGGATGAAAAAAGGGCTGCTCTCGAGCCCTGCACGCCACCCCTGCACACGTACGCTACCCACTGGTTGGACCCCAAACCCAAGGCTGGCTGGGTTGAAGGGACGGTGCACCTTGACCCCACTTTCCCCTTTCTTGGGTTGAAGTCCCCCAAACCCTGTGGGACGGTTCGTACCCAGAAGGGGTCGCGCGCGCTTGTTTGGGACCCCACCAAGCCCATGCCCCCTTTGCACGATGGCTCCTGGGACCCCGGTCGAAGGGATGCGCTGCATTTGTTGAGCCATGGGGAACAAGGAGTACAGGTCAGGGTGATCGGGGCCCGGGAGGTCTATAAGCTTCTCGGAGGAAGGGGCTGGGACGCCACAGATGACGATGAGAGCGACGCGCGTCTTGCCCTGCATGCCCCACCTTACGCCCTGGCAGCTTTCGCTGCCGAGTTTGTAGGCTCCCTCCCCCCTGACGCGTCGACCGACCGCAGCCGTTTCAGCTCTGAGGGGGGCGGTGCGCTCCCTAGTGTAGGCAAGGCAGGAGCTTGTGAGCTCCCGTGGGAGGACGACGCAGAGGCCCTGGTGCGCCTGTGGCTTGGAGGAAAACTCGAGGGTAGGTCCACGACCCGCTGCTCCGGTATGGGTGGCAAAGGCAACCAGAAAGGAAAGGGAGCCCACAAAGGGCGCAGAGACCAGGAGAAGCTGGAGCGTCTCCGTGGCTCGTTTCGAGCCCGGAGTGACGCTGACCGGCGAAGACTGGTCAAGATCCTCAGACACGAGGCTGCCCTCCTGGGTCTTCCGATCCGCGAAGACGGATGGGTCTCGTTGAAGGACATCAACGAGTGCGTCGGAACCATATCCGGCGAAGATGCCGCCCGAATCATTGGGCGAGACGAGAAAGATAGGCTAATTCTTTCTCAAGAGGGTGAAGAAGTGTGGGTGGCGGCCGTGTCAGGTCACACCATAGCAGGGGTTGTGGGGCCTGGCCGAGAGCTGCCCCTACAGGAGGTCCCAGAGGTGCTTGTGCACGGCTCCTACGCGCGGCACAGCAACAACATCCTCAAGGAAGGATTGCACGCGCGTAGAGCGATCCACCTCCTCTCCTGTGGGTCCAAACACGGCAGGTGGAGGTCGGACATCGAAACCTCCGTGTTTGTTCTCGCCCGAGAAGCCGCTCGGTACGCCCAGGTTCGGTTCCTTCTTACCACCAATGACATCTACCTGGCGCCGGACGGAATACCTCCCGAGTATATCTCGCAGATCGAATCCTGGCGGAAAGGACCGGTTCCCTTCCCACCGCGGGCAGCGGGGTCTTCCGTGGGGCGGTCCGCTCCCGGAACGGCTGCCGGCCCGCGCCGGGAAGGAGCTGCGAAAACCGCGGCCGAAAAAGCCCAGCAGAGAGCTGAGGCTGTGGCCGAGCACAAGGAGGCCGCACGCTTTACCGAAAGGCAGGAGGCCAGGCGTAAGTTGGCGTCGGCCGCACCCCGGGGCACAGTGGGCGTGGAGTTGCAGAGAGCTCTGGACTCCGACTGTGAGTCCTGTTCGGACCGCAGGGAGCAGTCCACCCTGAGCGCAGCAGCGTACGCCACGCAGCGCCTGCGAGCCATGGAGGTGCGTCCTCCACCGGAGCCTGTCGTTCTTAGGCCACGCCTCCAACCTGGCACCCCGGCGCGAGGCAGTGAACGAGGAGCACTGGGGTCAACCGACAATGTGGTAGCGACCTTGGAGCGCCCCGAGCCAGAGCTGGGGGACGAGGAGATGGAGCTGATAGAAGTCGCCGAGCAGAGGAACTCAGACCAGTACCCTCCCGAGGGCAGCCCCAAGAGTGATGAGCCGATGTCTTCCGTGGAGCGTTCCGCTCCCGGAATAGCAGAGGCCACGCTCGAGGGCGATGAACCGATGCCTTCCGTGGAGCGTTCCGCTCCCGGAATATAGCGGAGGTAGAGCCTGCGGTCGGTCCAGGTCTGAGCGCCCCAGGGGCAGCAGCCCAAGAAGCAGCACTGAAGGAAGAGCAAGCTGCGCCAGGGGAAAGCGCCTCTACGTCCGCCGAGGCACGTTTCGCGCCCGGCGAAGGCGAAACACAGGCGATCTGGGGCCCAAAGGTTGAAGAAGGAGGTCCCTTGCAGCCTCTTGTGGACGCCGCCCAGGCGTTGGGGGAGGTGGCTCTTGCAGAGCCAGAGGCCATCGCGCTGAAGGTCGACCCGGACACGTTGACGGCGGAAATCGGTAAGATGTCGTTGGAAGATGAAGACCCGGATTGGTCTGGCGACGAGGCCGAAATTCCGGTAGCAACTGCCTTGCCGGGAGAGGCTGCGTCCAGCTCCACCAAACAAGAGGAGGGCATGGGAACCAAGAAGGAACTCGAGCTCGACGAGACGGAGGAACCCCCACGCCGCCGCAAAGTGGTGTTGGCTACCGGCCAGTTGTCGCTTCTCCGGGCCCTGGCCGCTGCCAATGCGTCCAACTGGTCCGGGGTTCAGCGTGCTCTCAGAGAAGCCCAGGGGTCGGGCGAGGAGAAGAGCGAGCTTGTGGAGAACCTTACGTCTCTGGCGCAAGCGTTCTCCAAGAACCGCGACGCCTGTGCGCAGGCGGCAACCTCGAGGGCGGCAGCCCTCGCAGAGCTCGAGGGCGCAGAAGCCGCCTACTTCGCGGCGCTCCCCCCGGCCTTGGCAGAACTGGAGCGCAAAAACCCAGTGAGGCCCAGCATGGATAAAAGCCTCGGGTGGATCAACCACGCACGCTTCCTGCAGGACAAGGAAGCCGCCGGAGTGTGGGTGGCACGCAGAAAGGAGAAATCCCGCTTGCGAGCTGCTGCACACCGAGCGGCTCAGCAGTCTGCTGAAGGCGTCGGCGCAGGGGCGCAAGACCCGGTCCGCGACCAGGCGGACGCAGCCAGCCACCTCAACTTTCAAATGAACGAGGCGGCAAGGGACAACCTGCGGCGCTTCCAGGCTGAGCTGCGAGCTGGGGAGCTAGACGCCCCGATGCGAGCCGCAGTAGCTCAGAAGCGCAAGCCTGAGTCCGAGCGTAGGCGACGCATCAAATGGGCTAGGTTCTGCGAAAAGCAAGGGAAAACCAGGAAGTATGACCCCACGGAAAGCGAGCAGAACCACCCCTACGCTCACTCGGGTTCACCCCGCCTCAGGAAGGCCATGCCGTGGCCCGCTTCGGGCCCGGCAGGTGCCCCACGGAGGACGGGCTGGAGCACCGGGGGATTCCTGGCCCTTTGGGGGATGGTCGCTACCTACAGCATACAGCCAGCGAATGCACTGCCGAGACCCACCAGCCTTCCACTCGGGATTAAAGCACCGTGGCCTGCTTCAGGCCCGGGCATGGCCAGAGGAGGAATCGGACTGGGGCTTGGGATGATGCTAGGTTGGAAGCTCGACAGAGGGCGTCAGAATCGGGCGAGGAAGAGCCGGGCGTACCGACCCCGACTGGGCTGCTCCCCGTTTGAGCTCCGGGCTACCCGCCTGCCAACGCCGGGGAACACTCCCGCGGCCAGACGCCAGGGACCCAAATATACAGGGTTCCTTCGAGGGGTCCTTGGTGGCCTCACCGTCCTCGCTTCGCTCGTACTACAGGGGTGCGACCGACCAGCTGAAGAAACCGGGCGACTTGGCCACCTTGCGGGACCACCACTGTTGGGAGTTTCTGCTCTTGTTGCGTTGCTCATCACCTGGCCGGGTCCGCCGTGGCGCGCTCCGCGCCCGGCGTCCCGAAGGGTGGGAGAAGGAACGCGCAAGGTCAAGTTCGCGGTACAAGAGACACGCCGAGAAACCCGGGGAGAACTCTTGCCCGCTCAGACCTCAAGCTTAACGACACGACACCATCGGCGTCGAGGCAGCCACCCCCTCGTGGCCCCGAGCGGGAATTCCCCCGCAGAAACGAAGCGGAAATTCTCCGAAGAAGGGCCGGAACCAGGGGTGGTCCCCGCGCGCCGCTGGGCGCAAGAAAGACTGCAGTTGGTGAAGGACCACCTTTCACCATCCACCCAGCGGTTGTATGACGGCCATTGGCGCTGGTGGGAGCTATACACCAGACGTCGGGGCGTTTCAGCACTCCGCTCCGTGGATCGTTTCGATCCCGGAGAAGAGTCTTTGTTCCTCGACTATATCTGGTGTACCTATTTGTGGGCCAAGGGCTAGCAGCAGCCACAGCACAAGCCCGCCTGGGAGCGATTCGAAGCGTACACCTACAGCTCGGTTTTCCAGACCCACTGAAGCCACTTCCTCGTTTACAACTCGCACTCGAGGGAATCAGAAGGAGGAAGGGACCCATCGCCAAGCGGCGTCCGGTTACGCCGCACATGTTGGCAAGGGCCCAAGCGGCGCTGCCACAAGGGCTGTGGGGAAGGCGGCTCAACTGTGCTTTGCAACTCGGTTTCTTTTTTCTCCTGCGAGTTTCGGAACTGGTCGGTGGCAATAACCCAAAGCTTGGGCTCCGTTTCAAAGATGTCAAGCTGTATAGCCGTGGCGAGTTCCTCGCCCGGCCGCCCTTCAGCGGGGCAGATGAGGTGCAGATCGTTGTGAGAGCCTCAAAGACGGATCCCGAAGGGGAATCCGCCACGAGGAACTTGTTTCGCAGCGATGCAGCCGTCTGCCCTGTGTTGGCGACCATAGAGTTTCTGGAACTCAAATGGTCAGAAGCCACACCGCATCCGGAGGAAAGATTCTTTGGAGATCTTACAAGGCAGGACATCCAGACGGCACTGCAAACTGTCGCTGCCTCCTTAGGAGAGGAGGTACAGGCTTATACCCCCCACTCTCTCAGATTTGGGGGAGCCTCTGCAATGTGGGCAGGGGGGATGGACTCCTATGTCCTCCGAACATGGGGCAGGTGGAACTCGGACGCATTTTTAGCCTACCTTTGGACGTCTAGGAAGGCGTCCGCCAACACCGCTGCCTGCATGGCCCGCGCAGACATGACGCCGGTCAAAGGGTTCCCAAATAAGTGAACCGCCATCCCCCTTTTGTGTGGCCCTTGTCGTGTCGCGCTTCGACAACCCCTTTGTGTGGAGGGGCACACACTCCTTTTTGGTACAAAGGGGGGAAGGTTGCACAAACGTGCAAAAGACCAAGGACTTCGTGCTTCGCGCGCAAAAAGAGTTCTGAGCCGAAGTGAGTGTGAAACGTGGTAGCTTAGCGCTGCGTGCGTAGTGTTTCACCTCCGTAGGCTCTCGGCTCAAGGGTGACCCACCCACCCACCCCCTGCACAAACGTGC